CCACATTTAGAGGATTGCATTCAATTCTGGTTGCCACATTACTGGAAGAATGTGGAGGCTTTAGAGAGGGTGCAGAAGAGGTTTACCAGGATGCTGCCTAGATTAGATGGTATGAGCTACAAGGAGAAGCTAGAAAAACTCACGTTGTTTTCTCTGCAGCGGCAAAAGCTGAGGGGAGACTTGATAGAAGTCTATAAAATTATGAGATGCATAGACAGGATTGATGGTCAGATTCGTTTTCCCAGTGTTGAAATGTCTAATACAAGGGGGCATACATTTAAGGTGAGAGAGGAAAAGTTCAAATGATATGTTAGGGGTAAGTTTTTTACACGTTAAGTGGTTGGAGTCTGAAACTGGCTTCCAGCGATGGTGGTAGAGGTAGGTATAATAGAGGTGTTTAAGGGACGTTTAGATAAGTACATGAATATGCAGGGAATGGACAGATATAGACCAAGGGCAGGCAGAAGGTATTAGTTTATTTAGTGTCATGTTCAGCACATCACTGTGGGCTGAAGGTCCTGTTCCTGAGCTGTATAGTTCTATGTTATATAAGGAGAATGAGAATGGAGCAGAGAGGGTATGGGCAGAGATGGAGTCATGGGCAAGAGCAGAGAGGGGAGAGCAGGGAGGGGCAGAGAAGGAAAGAGAGGGGACTTGTGCCTTGTAGATGGTGCACAGGCTTTGGAGAGTCAGGAGGTGAGTTACTCATTTTAAAGTTCCTAGTTCTTGTCGCCATAGTGTTTGTACAGCAAAGTTCATGTTCAGTGCTAAGCCTCCAGGGATTGTGGACAAATTCCAATACCATGGTAACGAAGTGAAGGTAGCTTGATCCTCTCTCATAGGTGATACTCATTGCCTTGCACTTGTCGCGAAGAACATAATATGAAAAATGTAAGCAATTGTTTCAGATGTCTATAGACTTGCTGTGTAATTGCAGCATTTTCAAGGTTTTCAACAGTAACAGACTTTTTATAAAAGAAATATGGTGTCATGATTGAAATAACTGCAGTGAGGCCTGTCAACAAGTTACTCTTTATTTCCATATTGTTTCCTCTGGAGTGGCAAAAGCTGAGGGGAGACTTGACAGATGCCTATAAAATTATGAGATGCATAGTGAGGATTGATGGTCAGAATCGTTTTCCCAGAGTTGAAATGTCTAATACAAGGGGGCATGCATTTAAGGTGAGAGGAAAAGTAAGACTGCTTTTTAAATAAATATGATATCATGATTGAAATAACTGTACTGAGGCCTGTCAATAAGTTACTCTTTATTTCCAAATGGGGAGACCTTGACACTGATCCAGCTCCCTCAGAGCCAGATCTCAGAGTGAGCAGAACCTCTGAGACTCCTGTTTATATCTGACAGCCAGGGCTCCCTGATTGGGCCAGGTTAACAGCCTAAATTAGTGAACTCATCTATGATGGCAACCTTGCTGACCTTGTTGCAGTCACTACAATAATGACAAGATTTCAGGTCACTTAAAGAATTCTATTAATGTGGAAACATTCTGACAGTTCACTCAGCTTGTTTTGCTCAGTCGCACACATGATTAGAATTAGCTTTATTGTCGTGTACTTAAATGAGTACAGTGAAAAGTTTATAAGTTACCACTTACAGTGCCATCTTATTTACAAAGGTACCTAAATACAGATTCTTCAGATACAAGATATTAGAAAAATATAAAAATAAAATATTTCAGATGCTGCATCATGGCCTGGAGTAGGGTGGAGTGATAGGTAAATATTTCCCAAATGGACACCAGTTCTAATTGCAGGTGACAGAAAAATTCCAGTCTGGTCACTCCCGGCTGTAGCCAAAGCCAAATCCAGTCTATTCCACACTGGCAGGGACTACTGGGGCATCTACCCAATGTGTCTCTTCCTCCTGTTCTCACCAAGCCCTGATCAATAATGGCACTGAAATTGGAAACAGATTCTAAATTCAGGACTCGATGTACATCACTGCAAAAGGTGTCTTATTTTTGAAATTCCACCTACTTCACCCAATCTGAGCAAAAGGTTGTTGTTATAATGGCTGACAACCACAAGCACTGCTGTGAACTTGCCTGCTGACATTTGCACAGCTCCTTTTTATCTGATCACCTGCCTTGGACCAAAGGTTTTACCCGCTGGTGGCTCTCATATCAGGAGGCCACGTACACGTCAGCTCAGGGTTTGCCTGCAGAACAGTGCTGGCTGGTGATGCAGCAGATTAAACTCATGCTTCACACTGGTCTGGAGTGTGGTTTCGACACACAAATGTGTGTACAGAAAATCAGTGTGGACTCGGACTGCATGGGACAAAAACCAGCCTTTCTAGCTTCTTTCTCCAATCCACGCTAATCCAACGAACAGAATACGAATGCCAGACTACAATAATGACAAGATTTCAGGTCACTTCAGGTCATCCCAATTTGTCCTCTTATTCTAAAAGCCTATTGACCATCTCTCAATAACACCAGTACACCCCAAAGTATATTGGGCCAAATGTTGGTAGAGAAGGGATTCAACAGTATGACGTAAACATTGCCTTGCACGTGTAGATTTTGCAATATCTTGTGTGGTAAATTGCTCAGTGGGCGAGCTACTAGTGTCGCAACAAGGGAAACCAGGCATCTGATAGACAAGTGAGCAAGACATTCAACAGTGTATCTCAAACAATCAGATTACAAGATTGTGAAATAAACAGCATGGAGACTGAGAATCAACAAATTCAATGTAAGATAATGCTGAACAGGCATTAGAGGTCAAAAGGCAAGGGGGGAGAAGGGTGTGAGTGCAAAAGAACACAAGGAAGTGCATGGATACAAACGGAGAGAGGATGTAAGATGGGAGTGCAGGACAGAGTGAGGAGGGAAACAAATGGGAACATGTGACTGAGGCAATGAAGAAGTATCTGGTTTTTGCAAGATTTGTAACTTGTAAAGAATTGGAGCTGCCAGTGGTTGTAACTTTGAAGAGAGGCTTAACCATTCTCTCAAAGAAATCCAAAGTGAGATGAAGTCCAACAACAGAGTCCAATGGTAGGAAAGTTCAAAAAAGCAGGAAAAGTAGTTTTATGCAATATGCCCAATCAATGAAAGAGCAAGAAACCAATGACTGATATGGGACCCTATCTGCAGGCTTTAGGCTCCTTCTTTGCAAGAAAAAAATTGCAATGTAAGTTAAGAAGAGATAGAACTGTTCAAAATCAAGAAACTCAAGGGCAAAAATAGAGAGAGGTTTTCAAAGATACCAACTCCGTTATAAAGGAGGCTTAAAACTGTATTTCAGAAAGGGTGACGAGGACAATCTTTATGATAATCATTGGAACTTGGATGCATTATCACAAGACAGTATCCAAGTCAATCAGAAAATTTAATTGGTGATTGCAAAGCTTTAAAAGGATTGATATTAAAGGCTACAATGGAAGGAAGCATTGGAACAGGGACAGTTTGGCTTCTGTTACTGCCAAACAGTGTTTTGTTTTATATTCATCTTTTCCCAAACAGTGCTATCAAATTGATCAAAACTGGTATTCAGAGTTAAAACATCTTTTTTTTGAAATGGGAGGGATAGGCCTTGGGCCTCAAGAATTATGGAAATTTGATAGGACACTAACTATTAGAGTAGCCACTCAATTTTTGCTGTATAGCATGGAATCCTAGTTTCTACTCATTCTACACAGTTTCCCTACAAAGTACTCTCAAATAAAAAGACTACATCACAGAAATTGTGAAGCAGTTCAGAAACCAACCTCTTTCTTACAGGTTACATCTCCCATGCATCTCTTTACGATTTAAATACATGACTTCCAGATTTCTTTCAGCACAGAAATAAAATGTCCTCAACAGACAGGTACAATTTCAAAATCACTGTCACAGAACACAACTATTTCAAACCATAGCAGCTTCTAAAGATAACGCAGTGCAAAAGCTGAACCTTCCAAATAGCAAGGCCCAGTGTAAAGGATCACTGGACTCAAAACATTAACTATGTTTTCTCTTCACACCTTTAAGCTCACAAAGGGTCACCTTTGACCTAAAACATTAATTTTGTTTTCCTCTCTGCCTAGCCTGCTGAGTATTTCCAGCATTTTCTGTTTTAATAGCAAACAGGGACAACTGTATCTGTGGGCTCCATGATAAAATGATTTAGTAGTCTGTTATACGTCACTCCATTCTTTCGTGCATCAGACTGTGGATGGTATTTCCCTGTTTTATACTGAGGCTGACACAAAGTCACAATGACTGTTCCCCACACTGCACTCCCCATTCCCTCCAACCCATTGTTCATTTTTCTTTATTCTCTGAAGGAAGCTGTAAAGGAAGGAAAAATATTTTTCAAAGCTCAGAGGTAAGTAAATGTAGGCACGCAAAAGAACTTGGAGATAATTATTCATCAATTATTGAAAGCCAACAGGAAGGTACAGGGAACTATTTGTAGGCTCAGGAATGTATTGGTCTTCATTACAAGTTGGCTGAAGCACAACTGTAGGAACAATAACAAATTGCTGGTAAAAGTCAGCAGGTCTGGAAGCATCTGATGAAGAGTCACCGGAATTGAAACGTTCACTCTGTTTTCTTCCACAGATACTGCCAGATCTGCTGAGTTTTGCCAGCTATTTCTGTTTTGGTTTTGGATCTCAAGCATCTGTGGTTCTTTGTTTTATTAGAGCAGTGAGAAAGTCTCAATGCAATATAGGGCATTTGAAGAGACCGCACATGGAATACAGTGCAGTCTTAGTCTCCTTACCCAAGGATGTTACCCTCAAAAGGTCCCTGAGAAAAGTTTCCTGGGTTGAAATGCTGAATTACAAGGAGTGTTTGAGCAGAATTGATGATATACTCCTGAGATTAGAAGATTATAGAATCCCCACAGTGCAGAAACAAGCCATTTGGCCCAACAAGTCCACACCAACCCTCTGAAGAGCATCCCACCCAGAACCGACCCCCTACACTATCTGTGGGAGGAAGCCGAAGCACCCAGCGAAAACTCATGCAGGCATAGGGAGAATGTGCAAACTCCACACAGTCAGTTGCCCAAGGTAGGAATTGAACCCAGGTCCCTGGCGCTGTGAGGCAACAGTGCTAACCACTGAGCCACCATGCCTCCCCTTATGGATAGAAGCCAATCTTATAGAAATACATAACTTTGAGAATTTGACAAAATGTTAGCCCAGGCTGGAGAAGCTAGATCTAAGGGACATTATCTCAAGAGGTCAGCCATTAAAAACTGAGGTGAATAGGAGTTTTTGTGGGGCTGTAGGGGATCTCAGAGATCAAGAGGGTGAAAAACAGTTTGTGATTTGAAGACAAAGATGAGAAGTTTAAAATCAAAACCTGAGCAAAGGTGAGATTGTGGAGCTGGGGTGAGGGGACACATGTGGGTTCTCACGTTGTTAGGTTGAGAAAAGGGGTCAAAATTCAGCATGCAGTGGACTCTAGGGCAGTACCGTTCAGGTGAAGAGAACACTCTGACCACACAAAAGCTACTGGATCAATTCCAACTCAGCACTGCATTCCCTGTATATGTGGACTTAAACAGATCCACTTTCATTGAGTGGAATGTCAAGGAAAATAACATTATACTGATTTTTCACAGATTGAGTAGTGAAGTGATTTGCAGGGCCAGTCATGCCATTCTGCATTTCTAGAAGTCACAACACAGTCTTCATCTTCTCCATAAAGGTCTTTAGCATTGAGCTGGCTGATCCCCCAAAACCTGAACATGGAAAGAGAATAAAACAGGATGAATGGATACTTGGACATTATAATTATTGAAAGGGCCCTTTTTAGTAAATCCAGTGCAACTATAAAGATGTTAAAGCATTTAACGGAGCCTCTGCCACCTCTAAAACTGTGTAATGCTGATACAATACACAGACATGGAATTTTATGTGTCTTTAGTTTGAATATTCATTTATAAGTGACTAACAAAGTAATCAGGCACAAATATATTATGGATCTAGTATTCAGCCACCAGTCTAAACTGGTGTTAGGATTCCGTGTGGGGGAGTAGCTGAGCAACGGTGATCACAACGTTACGTAGTCTGAAGTTACTGGCAGAAATAAAGGGAGCAAGAGATGTCAGAAAGGCAGACCTCACTAAAATGTTAGATGATTGGGAAAGGATCATTTGATTAATCCTCCCAGCTATGTCCAGAACAAGATAAAAATTTTGAAATGCCAAAGTTAAATAAGGGTCTGTTCAGTTATCAGACCCTCCCGATGCCTCAAATATGTAAACATTTTCTTGCACACGGGGCTGCTGTGTGGTGGATGTACTGCTGGTTAACTTAAGTGTAGGCTTAGGTGAATACTGGGCTTCAGTGGAAAGGCAAGCAGGGTAAAGGCGAGGTAAGATTTTTTTCGTGGATAGATCAGCTTCAGATATGAGTGGAGAAATGGCAGGTGGAGTTTAATCCAGGAAAGTGTGAGGTTCTGCACTTTGGGAGATCAAATGTTAAAGAAAAGCATACAGTTAGGAGGACTTTGAGTAGCATTGATGTACAGGGGGATCTTGGAGTCCAAGTCCATAGCTCCCTGGTAGATAGGGTGGTAAAGAAGGCGAATGACATGCTTATCTATATTGATCAGGAAATTGAGTACAAGAGTGATGGTGTCAGGTTTCAGCTTTATAAGACTTTGGCCGGGCACACTTAGAGTATTGTGTTCAGTTCTGGTTGTCACATTACAGCAAGGATGTGGAGGCTTTGGAGAGGGTGCAGAAGAGGATGCTGCCTGGATTAGAAGCTATGAGCGAAAAGGAGAATCTAATAAAACTCGGGTTCTTTTCTCTGGAGCGGCAGAGGCTGAGGGGAGACTCGATAGAAGTCTATAAAGTTATGAGACGCATAGGTAGGGTTGACAGTCAGAATCTTTTTCCCAGAGTTGAAATGTCTAATACTAGAGATCATGAATTTACAGTGAGAGGGAGAAAGTTCAAAGGAGATGTGAGTGGCGAGTTTTTTTACACAGAGAGTGCTAAGAGTCTGGAACATGTAGCCGGGGTGGTGGTGGAGGCAGATACAGTAGAGGCATTTAAGGGACTTTTAGAAAAACACATGAATATGCAAGGAATGGAGGGATATGGACCAAGGTCATGCAGAAGGGGTTAGCTTAATTTGGTGTCAATTTTGGCACAACATGGTGGGCCAAAGAGCCTGGACCTGTGCTGTAATGTTCTGTGTTCTAAGTAAGAAGTGCTTTTGGTTGTTTGTTGCATAGTGCCAGAGTTCATATGCTACTGTATATGAATGAACAAATTATATGTGAATAAAGTATATTTTTGAAATATAAAATAAGAGAGGTAAGCATATAAAAGTAGCTTCCCTCATAGCACAGTTAGCTAGCTCAGGAAGGACATCATCTGATCACCAGATGGAAGTTGGGAGAGAGCAGGCTGACAACCTGTTTTGATCTAATCTTCAAACAAGTCCATATAAATGGATTTACTTTTGATTGTATGTGTTGTATGGATAAAATTTTTGCAGCATTTTTTGTAATGTACTTTGCTTTAATAAACAACATTAAGTGTATTCCATTGTTAGAACTGCCCTAGGTTATCCGTATCCAGAGTAAACCTAATTGACTAGGGATAGCAAGGTGTAGAGCTGGATGAACACAGCAGGCCAAGCAG